TTGCCTTCCCCTGACATCGGCGGTGACCCTGATCGCCCTGGTGACAAGGCCCACTGGGATGTGGCACTCCCATACCCAGTAAGTGAATTAGCTCTCTTGATCACATTCTTCATTGTAAGTTTCTTAATTTTTGGAGAAGACTCTAATGATACTGCAGTTTGAGCATTAGCATCCGTTGTCCATCTCCGTGGCCTTGTTGGTATATCATTCATATATTTAGAAGAGACCTCTACACCAGATTTCCTAGAACTTCTTCCTAAAGTTGGAGAAAAAAGATCATTTCCTGAATGTTTATCACTGCACTCGGAAATTTCTGACTCGAGATTATCCTCAAATATATCCGAATTTCTCCGAGATGCACCAACTTCTTTCGAATTTTTATATAGGGCATTTTCATCAACAGATAATCTTCCAGGAACATAAACAGGATTGTTATTGGACGATGAATTCGAGGAGGATGATGACGATGAAGAAGAAGATTTTCCCGGAAAGTGAAATTTCCCGGTGTATCTCGCAGATCCTCCAAGAATTGGTCTATGATTTTCTTTTGTGCTCCCTTTCTCTTTATCATTTTCAACCCTACCAAACACAGTACCATTACTCCTTTGCCTACCAAGTGAAAACACACTGCTACTCTTCGTGGGTTTTTCATCTTTCTTGTGGTCTAACAAATCTTTCAATCTTGCATTTCCAAGATGATCCGCTAGAGTGCCTTGATTGTTTTGGTTGTTTGATGATTGTGAAGGCGACGAAGAAGGCCAAAGGCCTCGAATGAATCCAGGATCATCAAGGCTCCGATGCTTTCGAACATCAGAGGAGGGTTTAGGGCGAAGTGGTGATGAGGAACCTTGATTTGGAGATAGGGTTCCATTGTTATGTGAAGGTGAGGTTGGCGAGAGAAACCTGGAGCTTACTTCCCGAGACTTGGGTCTTCTTGGCTTGAGAGATTGATCTGATGAGAGCAGAAACGGTTCATTTTCAGTATTCTTCATTGTTTCTTTGTGTGCGCGAGAGAGAACAAGAGAGAAAGCGAGGATTCTAACAGTAGAGAGATTTGAGGGATGTTTGTTTTGTCTTCAAAATGGATGAGAGGAAAAACAAACATTTTTGAAAATGGCGGCAATGTAGATATGACAGGCCGGCTGATCAATGGGATTTTCCTTGGATTTTTATCAGTTTGAAAGTACTGTCAGGATCTGCTTGACTCGGTCTTGATTTCTCACTCAGGCAGGGTAATGCTGGGGGAAAAAAATGATTCTGTTGGACTTCCTGAGAGACCTTAGCAGGTAGGAGACAAAAAGCACTGCCGTTGTTCAATGTTTGCTTCTTGCTTGCCGGCATCTGTGTTTCCAAGTGGTTAACCTGGGCTTCTGCCACGTGTCTGACATTTTTCTCAAAAGTAATGTGTTGATCTACGTGGCGTGGACACGTTTTTTTAAATATTTTTTCCCTTTAAATTAAAAAAAAATCAGTGTTTTTTTTAAGGAGTGAAGTCACAGTATTAAAAAAAAATTAAAAAAAAATATTTTAATATATTTTTAAATAAAAAATAATTTAAAAACAATCAATAGAAAGATTTTTTTTCCCGACATTTGGCAACAATCTCTAAGAAGCAAAGCTTCATGCTTTAGACCAGGACCGTTTCAACATAAACATAGCCAAACCCATATTTTATTTGCTTTCTACCCCGTGTTCATTTTAAAGGGCAATACAAAATTTGGCATGGAGACTGGTTAGAACAATCAAAGTTGTTATTTTCCTTATGAAGACTTCACAGTTGATAATTTGGATGCTTGAGTGGTGTGTTAATGGGATTTGGCTCCTGGTACAGATGTTGTAAAAGACCTTTGCTCTGCTAAGACAACACATCAAGACGATGGATTTATTATTATTATTATCATTATTATTATTATTGCTTTTTCCTTTTAAGGTTAAACAGGAGGCTGAATTATTCTAAGCACTGTTCTCATCCCACCCCAGGAACTTCCCTCGTAAAGAGTAAGAGATACCCCTTAGCTAAAGCTTTCATGGTATTAATTTGAACTGATAAAGGGTTAATATTCTCTTGGCAATTACCTTATTAGTGCCTTTTGGGGGTGGGAAGGAGTGGGGAATTTCATCAGAGACCTATAAAATGTTAGGAAATAAGAAACAACCATATTGGGTGTTACAGGGAAATCACAAAAGAAAGAGTTGATGGTACAAGAAAGAAAGAACAAATGAGAAGGATTCAAAGGGCCTTTACAGCTTCACTAAACTCCAGCAGAAGCAAACCCCACATTGTCGAGAAGCGTCGAAAATGGGTTAGAGCAAGTAAAACTACAGCGGATGACTGTTGGTTTGAGCTTGCAGCTTAGCCTACGTAATAAACTAACGAGAATTGTTGGGCAATAGGCAGTAATTATTGATGAATTGATGTTAAATTAACATTCTGTACTACATCAGGCACTTTTACAACCAACAGCCATGCTTGGTCCTGTGAAAATTGTGCAAGCATACTTGATCTACAAAATTTTGATGTTCTTACGCACCCGAGAAAATATGAAGCTTCCGTGTCCAAAATCAATGAAAATTGCACTGTTGTAATAAAGGATGACTATAGTCTACGTACTTTTCCCAGAGAGACTTGTATTTTTCCATCCCAATTTTCAACCATGGCTTGGAGTTTCCATTGAAGTGCAACACAGCCCCTTTCTCTATCAAGTGAGGGTCAACATTTGTATAGCCCAATCCCAACACATGCCATGAGGGATCTAAAGGCTCTGTCAACCCATAGAAAGTCAAAAGTCCAGGCGGTAGCGTCCCAAGTTTCCATAGTGTCCGATCCACATTCTTTTCTTGCCAGTAGTGGTAGATTTCAGTTACATTTCGCTTTCTCCACTCAACCAAATCAAAAACGTTCATTCCAAACGCCCAACCACATGCATCAGGATCAAAATGTTCTCTAATAAGAGGGTGAGAGTAGTTCAGGTACTTATGGTATCTGTGAAATGTCTCCATGCAGGTCTCAACTGCTCCATTAACATTGCTGTTCAAATCAATTGAAAATAGACCAGATAGATCCTTCTGAACAACTACATCATCATCAAGAAATACCACCTTCTCCAGTGCAGGAAAAATTTCAGGAATATAAAATCTGAGGTGATTAAGCATGGATAGATATTTTGGGTTTCGGAACTTGATAGGAGTTTGGCCATCATTATTATGGCCTGAAAGTAATAGCTTTGAGTTTCAGAGTCCTGGAGCTGCTTAAGCACTGGAACATACGAAGCATTTAGCCATTTAAAGTCTTCAAACTTCTGAACCTCAATGGTAACTCCTCGGAAAGTGTTCATGGAAAACCAAGCCTTCATAGCAGCATAGTTTATTTCATCAGTTACAAGATGAAACACAACCATATCTGGATTCTTGGAATTTAAAGTAGTTGAATTGACAACAACAGACGTTGCAAGGATATTGTCAGAGAAGACACAGAAATGATAGAGACCGTTATCTCTAAGTTTTGTCTCAATGTGCATTCTCTCATTCATTCTTCTGTGTAGATTTGAATTTCCAAACCATTCAGTAGTTAACCGAATACCAAGGCAGTAAAGTCCTTTTGGGATTTCTTCAGCAGCTATTTGACCATACTTTGAGCTTTTCTCACTCACCGCAGCCATTTGTTCATCAAGAGTTTGGATCTTGGTTTTCAGTCTCATGATCATAGTTGCACTGTCATAATGAAGTTGCTGGGCGTGGAGGAGCAAAAGTGCCATGTCACGGATTGCAGTTTCTGATTCTCTGGTTGTTAAAGGAGCTCGCCTTGTTGCAACACTTGAAAGGAGGACCTGGGAATTGTGTATTTGGGCACTTAATTCCCAAGCAAGCTGAATATTGTTACTTTCTTTGGCGATCACAACAAAAGCTTTTGCAAGAGAAATTTGGTCACTAAGATGCCTGGTGACTGAGTTGTGGCTCAACATTTCATCCGTAATGTTTAGACCTTCAATGTTTTTCACATACTTGGTATAGTCCTGCAGAAAGAAAAAGAATCAAGCGTTTTAGTTTCAAAGAGAGGAAAGTGGTAACAGGGAATACAAGGAAGATAGCATCAATATCAACATAAAAATTAAGGATAAATGCACAGCAGCTCCAACACATAATGTAAACAGTTTAAGATCACTTTATAAAGCTAGCAGTAAATCCAATGCACATACTTTAGAAGGAATCCCCTTTATAGTGAATAAAGAAAAAGATGCCATCACTTCTAAAAGTTAAGGGTTAAAAGGAATGTAAAGGAACGAAAAAGGATATTAACACCTGACAAACTTTGCTGAGTGATGCTGGAGATCACAAATTTGGTGGCACATAAAACACACAGACATGGAGTGGGGTAGCTGCCATTAATTTCAAAATTTCTCGGTTTGTGAGTTCATCTAGTATTTAAATTAATCATTTCCTAATTACAGTTCAGCATTGCAGTTCATGTCTAACACAGTTTGCAAATTATGATATTGCTGAGTTCTGTAGAATAAGTTACATTCGAAGAAAATGTGAGAGGAACTAGGGAGACACTTGTCCATACAGTTGTTATACATTTGCAATATTTCACCGATTGCTATAGAACATTAAATCACACCAAAAAAAAGGGAAGTTAAAGTCACCAAAATGTTAGCCATTCTATGATATCATATGAATTTCTAAATCACACCATCACAAAGCTAGCACATGAGGCGCATTTTAAAACATGATGAACTTTTCATACTGTTGGTCCTCAGAAACACAACTCAAATCCTTTAGATCACAGCATGTTTGATGCTCTAATAAATCTGACCTCAAAACACACATTTTCTCTAATATAGCAAGCTAGTCATCTTTCTTTATAAGTTTCATTTTCTTAAAAAAAATTGAATTTTATTAGCAGAATATGGAAAGTTAAATAGAGAAATGCTAAAAAGAACAGATCTTTCACCAATATAATTCTGTTTGCTTTTACCAAAATTCCTAACCATAACTCATACAAGTTATCAAACTCGTCTCCAAAAAATATTATTCAATGTGTTCAGCATAGAAATAACCTCTCTTATCCACATTACATATACATGGAGTGCATAGAACATTGAGGTATTTATACATAATTCTTAGAATTTCAATGTCCTGTTAACTTTGTTTATGCTTCACATGCACATTATAGAAGCAATGTATGATACAAACAATGCCTTAAACATAACTCTTCCTCAAATGAAAACCTAATATGATCATTTAAAACAATTCAACAACCTGAATCAAGTTAACAAGCTGGATCAAGCTAATGCCTCCACTGAGATAACTACTAAAGGAACAATAACTATTAAGCTATTGGAATAATATTGCATATCCTAAAAATACAACTTCAAACTTTAAATGAAACAAATCAATTTGTGAGCTTAAGATTTCAAAACAATTTATACGCGTCTACTTGTTAAAGCAACCCTTTCATCATGTGCAGTATAACTCCATCTAGCTCAAGCAAAGTCACAGATCAGACAACAATTCCAATCTACACAAAAAAGAAAAACCCGACAGCACAAAAACATAAAAAAAAAATAGCAATTTAAGCTAACAATCATGTCATAATATTGCTCCTGTCCCCAAAAATGTAAATCTCAACTTTCATTAAGCCCAGTAACAGTACCAACGAAAACCTAATTAAGCCCCATTGTCCCTTCAAATCCCGAATCACAAAAAAGGTCTCAGAACTCAAAACACCGATTCCCTTCAAAATTCCCACATTTCACAGCAATTAAACACATTAAAAACCATGCAATTGAACAAACAACTGCAAAATCCTGTAAAGCACATATCTTTACCTTAACCGAGCTTGTGGGTCTTGATTCAATACGACTCTCTTTGTTAAAAATAACTATAAACAGCAGCACAACTATACCACACAATGACCACACCACCACATTTGATACCCTCCTCCTTACTGGCCTCCTAAAGTCCACTGGTCTCCGTCTCATCTCAAATTTAAGCTCTGTTTGGTTCCAAAGAAAGTAACTTTCCTTGAAAAATTTGAAAAAGGGATCCCAATTATGGATTTCAAGTTCAAATCTCTATGACCCAGGTCATGAAAAGTTGATAACTTGAGATTGGGATCTGAAATATGATTTGTTTTTGAGTTTTTGGATTTATTTTTTGGGGTTTTGTGTATTGAAAAACGAAGTGAAGCAGAGACAAGTTTGCTTTCCTTTGGGGACGTACAGACCGCACACCATTAATGATTGTTATGGACGATAGATTTTAGAGAGGGAAAGTGTTTTGGTTTTTTGTGATGTTGTGTAGATATTCACTATATATTCTCTGGTAAAATATTTAAAAAACAAAACAATTATACATATAGATTTTTTTCAATATGTCTTTATACTTCAAAGAACTCTAAATTAAAAAATTATATTTTCTTGTAATTAAATAAATAAATAACTATATAGATAAATAAATAAAAAGGTATTAAATAATAATTAAAAATAAAATTGAAAAATCAAAAACAAATATAGATAAGATATTTAATATTATAATAAAAGACTTTTATTCAATTGTATTTTCTAAGTTTATTTATTAAAATAATTTTTTTATTATCTTAAATAATAATAGAAATAAATACATACATTCAATTGATTGAATAAAAAAAATTATGCAAGGCTATGTATATTATAAATATTATATGAAAATAAATATTTTTTTATTTTTAAAATAAAATTCATTTATATAAAAGATAAAAAAAATAGAAAAAAACAGAAAAAATTATTTAAAGATTAATTGCAGACAAAATAATCAAAAAATAAATGTTATTTAAAATAGGCTTTTTAAACAAGACAAAAGAGAGAAGAGATATTAATATAAATATAAATAAAAAATAATTCTGCAAAAAAAATATAAAAAAGCATTAGTTTAAAAATATATTTTAAAAAATAAAATAAAATAATGGGTTATACATTGTTAGGTTATTTTTATGCTTTTACAGTTAAAATAAACGACGTATCGTTTATCTCAATTTTTTTATAAAAAAAACTTTAAACAATATATTGTCTGTATTACCTAATTTTTAACTATTATGGTGACCAATAAAATGATGTTAATGGTTTTTTTATCAAAAAATTATATTTTCAACCCATTTTTACTAAAAACATTATAGACAACTTGATAAACTCATTCATGACATAAAAAATTGTCTCAAAACCAAAAATCTTATTAAGATTTGATATGCTTTTCTTACCAATTTCAAGATAAACAAACACCTAAAAATAACAAACACCTAATGTGAGCTCCTCTCTTAGAAAAACAAACAAAATAATTTGTCACTAATTTTATCTATTTTGAAAATTATTACCTATAAAATTTCTCTTTCTCTTGTGTAGGATTCCAGTGACTTTCTCTCACCTCTCTTACATTTGGGCTAAAAAAATAAGTGAAGTTTGGGATTAAAATTGATTTTTTCCTTTTAATTTATAAAGTATAAGGACTACAATAAATATTTTGTTCAAACCTTTTAAAGCCACTTATTCCCTATATATTTTTTACTTTGGTCCCTGTCTTTGAGTCTGGCCCTCCTTTAAGAAATTCACTTATAATTGATCTATCAAGGGTTAAATTAAAAAAAAAAATATGAAAAAAAAAACTCTATAGATAATTTGTCCATGGTGCCACGTAAGGGATTCACAATGCATTTTACATATTAAATTCCCACTGTTTTAGTTTTTTAATTAATAATTGATTTATTAAAATATATTTTAATCTTTATTCTCTTAAAAATACTAGATGTTCAGTCTTTTTAGGGTCAAAATTTTTAAACCAATCTCTTGATTGGCTTCAGTTTTTGCTTGCAAGAACTTTGTTTTTTTTAGAAGATACCATGAGAAGCAATCTTTTAATTATAGAGTGGATAGTTTACTTTTGAATGTATGGAGAGGAGATTTCAAATGAAAAATCCAAAAAAAAAATATTAATTTTTCTATTCATATCAGCTCAACACTTAAGAAATTGATGGAGCAATTAACAAAAGAACTAGTAACTTACAAACAAATATGAAAATATAGAGATTAATTATGTGATTGTTTAAGCTATAATAAAGACAGCAAATGAACTAAGATACCATTCAATATCATATTGTACTTTTGCTTATATGTACTCTTCTATGCTTGTTCTTATTTATTTAATATGTCAAGAATTTATAAGAGTAAAATGGATATACTCATAGCACATCTGTTGATAATAATTACTCTAAAATATGTATATAAAAAATATTATAGCATAAATAAATAGTCTATTAGGAACATCTTGGCCTTTCATTGTCAAGTGATTGAGTGGTAATAAAATGGGTAAGCTTTCAGGAAAAAGCTTAGCTAAGGTTTTGTATCATTGCAATTTGGAGGGACAAGAACGAAGTTAGGTCACAAGTTTGGGCATCGAAAATGTTTTTATGCAAATATATGGTCCGAATTTTTATTTCCAAAATTTTATCCAAGGTCCAATCATAACTGATTGCTAGCTTTCTATATCTATTCTTAAAATATAGTATCTCTCATTAATTTGGAAGATTATGGGTAGGAAATAAATAAAGACTTGACCACATAAAAATAATAATTTCACATTGTGCTACAGGTGTTTTCTCTTTTTTAAATTAAATCTCAAAAACACAGACAATTTCAATTTTGACACCTAAGATTTTTAAAATAACAAAGAAATGTTTGTGATAACAATTATATTTTTAAAGTGTTTTTTGTTAGAAAAAATATTAAAATAATATTTTTTTATTTTAAAAAAATTATTTTTGATTTCAGTGTGTTAAAATAATCTAAAAAATTAATTTAAAAAAAAAATCTTAATATTTTTAAAAACATTTTAAAAAAATAGAAACAAATAAATCTTAAACATCATTAAAAAAACAAATCTCTTAAGCTTCCAAGTAACAATTCTAATTTATAATGTATGAGCATTCCTATAAAGGTTTTAGTGAGGCATGTGATATCTTCTGGACCATTAAGATTGGTAATTTTTATGATAAAAAACTAATTTAAATAATTATATGTTATGCTATTCGTTAGCCAAGTGATTTTATTAGTAGTGTCTAGATTTTTAGCTACCGTGATATATTTACATCTCCGTGAATAATTATATTGTAACATATGCTAAAACACCTAGGACTTTTACTGTAGCATATTTTTTTCATTCTCAAAGTTTTTTTTTTATGCCCAAATTAAGATATACTTTATTAAATTTTTTGAAGTTTGGGACAAATTAAAACATAGGAAGCAGAGTGTAAAACACAAAGAAATTTCATAAAAAATCTAAATTTTTATTTAAAAATTTATTTTATCCTTTTATTTTATCTTTTCAATCTTTAAAAGCCCTATAATTTCCAAAAATTTAACTTTGACCCAAAAATACATTTTCTTATTTTTCAGGCTTTACTTAAGAGATGAGAGGGAAATTACTAGACTCTGATAGAAAAAAAATATTGGTTTTCATTGATCTTAAATATAAAAAAGTTAATTTTGAAGTCAACTAATTTTATTTAACAAAAATAACCTGATTGGGTTGTTTTGAACCTCGGTATTGCCTAAAAAGTAGGTGAGAACCAAGAAATGAATTTTTTACCCATTTGATTTTGTGTTCTTATGCCATTTTTTGGATTTTTTAACTTGATAATTTTTTTTAATATTATAACAATGTTATTTAAATATTTTTATGAAAAAATGGGTTTTTAACCTGGAAAAAACAACTCGAAATGAAACTATATAAAAATAAACAACACATTGCTTATCTTTTTTTAACAAAAAAAATATAGAACATGTTATTCACCCTTTCAAAATTAAAAAATAAAATAAAAAGATTCAAGCATATGGGCCTAGGCTAGAGTACATGCCAAAGTTTTTTTTAGAGCAAGGTGAGATGAGCTAAAAAATACAAAATTAGATTTTTAGGTTACATTAGATTATAGATAAGTTTATTAAGATTTTTTTTATCAAAATAAATTTTTAAACAAAGAAAATCAAAGTCTTAGGTTTTTAGTAACCTTTAGTGTCTAGATTCAATAGAAAGCTAATAATGTGTTATCTACCATCTTTTTTTTTAAAAAAAAAGTTATATATGCATTTAATTTTTTTAAAAAAAAACATTAACTTAGATACACGTGCTGTTTTGAAAGCTCGACACGCCTGGATTCCTTCTAAATTTTTCTTTTTTTTCATTTTATATAAGTTAAAAGAATTGATAAAAAAAATTTATTTAAATTTAATTGAGTCTATGTGTCGGGTCATATATTTAATTGATTAATTTATAACATCCAAGCTATTATTTGTTTTTTAATATTTTTTATGCCCCTTAATTAAAAAAATATAATTACACCTTTTGTTATAGGTAATTTATTTTTTTATTTAACTCAAACCTAAAAAAATACAAATTTATTTTTTGTCATCAATAATATACTTTTACTGTATTAACATTTCGTGCTTATCATATTTTTTTTGTATTTTATAAATTTTATTTTTTGATATTAATTTAATTTGAGAATGAACTTTTCAATTTGATTTTTTATTTTTTGAAGATTACCCTTTTAATTTTGCAAATCAACTCATGTTAATATAAATAAATTAAGTTTTTTTTATGTTAATATTAAATAAAAAAATCATTTAATTCAATTAAAATTTACTTTTTTAAAATACATATCACTAATCCATGCATATTTTTTTGCGGGGCTTTAAAACAATTTTGCTCCTATGTGTGACTAGTACGCGGCCGAAGTACCGGTTCTTCACTAAAGAAAGTGAAATAAACTCCCTACCTTTCTATTGTTTATAACAAAAACCATTATTTATATAAAAAGAAATTACTTGTTTTTCTTATTATCATACAAGTTTTGAATTCTAAAGCGCTATTTATAAGAAAGAAATATTTTATGGGTATATAATTTCAAACTTGGATGGTATATTTAAAGTTTTATACAAGAGATATGTATTTTTTTATAGATGAAAATTGATAATACCATCTACCTTAAAATATAAAAATAATAGGACTTGGATCCTGACAGATATCACTAATGATTTCCCAATACGGTATATTAATGCTATGCTTGGGAGGCTAGTGTGAAAGGAAAGAACGTGCTAGGTAGCTATCTGGACTTTGTAGATTTATCCCTCTCGTTGCCAAGAAAGCCTCTGCTAATATCTAGGAGCTTACGAAGGTGGAAACAATCAGCCAAGCTTTCCTTACCAGCTAGCACACAAAAGATAGAAGGTGGCTAGTGACTAAACTGAAGCCCATCAAGAAACATCAGCTGGTGGCAGCCTCAGCATATCATTCCAGGTAAACAAAGCTTTGACAAAATCAAACATTTTAGTTTGGTTATCAATCATGTATTTGTTTGGTACCCACTCTCTTTGTACGCACATTGATGTTAGATTACTGAAGTTACTTTCATTATTTCCCATGGTGATCCGGTTTTCTGTGTATTAGTTTGCGTCTATGGTTGATCCAGTTGCAGCTGAGGATGGTCCAAGCCGCAAATATTCATGGCTGGATGGAATCATGATAAAGATTGACAATTTGTCTCCGGTATCAAATTGGAGCATCTGGAAGGTTTCATATAGCCTTCGGACTGTGAATGAAGATGCCTACGATCCTCACATCATCTCAATCGGACCTCTTCACAAAGGAAAGCACCAATTGCTATCCATGGAGGTTCACAAATTGTATTATATGCGATCCCTCCTACAACGAACACCAGATTTACATGAGACTCTCAAATCTTCTGCTGAGGCCATCAAAGAGTTCGAGGAAATGGTTCGTGCTTGCTATGCAGAGCCAATCGAGATGAGTTCAAGTGAGCTAGCTGAGATTTTGTTAGTCGATGGTTGCTTTATGCTTGAACTTTTTATAAGATACTCGAAAGTTGATCTTAGAGTGCAAGATGATCCCTTGTTTTACTCCTCGTGGATTATCTTAACTCTCCAGCGAGACCTTGCATTGCTTGAGAATCAGATTCCATTCTTTGTTCTTGAAAGACTGTACTCGCAAGTAGTGGAGTCTAGTACTATTGGTCAGTCATTGCCTAGCCTCCCTGAGCTCGCTCTTGGTTTCTTCAAATCAGTTCTGTACATTAATGATGAGAATTTTAGGATCATTAGGAGACCCTATCCCCATTTGCTTGATTTAATTCACAATTGCTACTTACCCCCAGCATTCTCTGGAAGAAGCAATATTGGAGAATGGGTTTCAACGCAGCCGGCAACATCACTCAATGAGGCTGGAATTGTGTTTAGGAAAGGTACAACAAGAAATCTATTTGACTTGAGGTTCAGAAACGGTGCACTCGAAATCCCACCATTGCTCATCCATGATTCAACAGTTTCACTCTTCCAAAATCTCATTGCTTACGAGCAACTTTCACGCGGCACTGCACAATACATCACATCTTATTTCGCACTCATGTCCCGTCTTGTTTATGATCGGAGAGATGCTGAACTACTTGAGAGCAAAGGTATAATTAAAAACGATATGAGTGGTTGGAAAGATGTTTCAGTGCTCTTCAATGATATGTGCAGGCAGGTTGTTGTGCAAGATTTCTATTATGCAGAAGTATGTCAGGATTTGAACTCAAACTTCAGGACTCGGTGGGCTTTATACAAGGCGACCTTGAGAAAGACCTATTTCAGAAGTCCATGGACAATTTTATCGGTCATGGCTGCCTGCATGCTTCTTTCCCTTGCTGTAATTCAAACGGTATACACAGTACTTTCGTATTATCCTAAATATTGATAGTTGTCCGAGTGTTTTGTTTCCACAATTTGTTCAAGAATTAAGCTTTTATGCATAATAAATATTGCGTGTTCATGGAAACCTTTTCGTTTTAGATTCGAGTGAAAGCTTGAAAGTTCAATTTCTTGTGACTGAAAAATCAAGCTACAGAACAGGAGAATACATTTACTCATGGCCTTACTTCAATATCACCAGATCTTGTTTTTCATCGAGCAAAGCCCCTGCGTGCGCCTTATTCTGCACGGCCTTAACTTTTTGGTGGAAGTTATCTTTTTGAAAAGTTATCTGAAAGTTAAAATTACAGACTTGAGAAAACGAAGTGTTTGACAGTACAGGTTATTAAATATTTTTATAATTATAATCACAATTATCAATCCATATAAAAATAAAAATCATATCTCTCAGAATAACAAAAAAACAAAGACAATATATATATAGAAAGATAAAAACATAAAACAAATATGTTTTAAAAATAAATTTATATACTTTCATATAAGAAAAATCAAGAAAAAATATATTTGTACTATCGAAATCTTTTTTATTAAAAACAAATCATGATTTTATAATTAGATAATCACTTTTGTTCAATTTAAGGGTATTTTAATACGCACCTAATTCCGACTTTTACGTTCTAAAATCAAGAATAAGCAAGTTGAAATTAATAAATATTTGAGCATGGAATTCTTTATGTTAAAATTGCAATGTACAGTATTTATTTCCCCCGAATGCACATGAGCATTCACACCCTTCCAAATTCATGTATTGATCAATAGCCCAATCCACGAGAAGACGTGCGTCTTGAGAGTGTGCTTATTATTATAGTAATTTTTATAGTTAAAATTTTTTAAAAATAAGTTTTGAAAAAATTAATTTTTATTATGATTAGTGTGGTTGAAATGCATGTTAAAAATATAATATAATAAAGTGTTTTTCTAATTTATGTTCATGAAAAAACATGTTAAAAATTATGATTTAATTTGATATTAGTAATAAAATCATCTAAAAGAAAATGAATTTTTAATTATATAAAATTTAATTTTACCACCAATACAATATTGTAAAAACCTAAATATAATATAACTTCTTGTTTTGTGGTCGTTGGCTATAGTAATGAGGGTTGTTTTTTTTTTTTATTGACAACTAAAGCGATGTTTGTTTTCTAAAAAACAGTTTTTGAAAATCATTTTCTAAACTTTTCTGTATTTGTTTGTTATTAGGAAAATTAGTCAATAAAAAACACTTTCCGGTCAACAAAAAACACTTTACGGTCAATGGAAAACACTTTCCAGTCAAAAAAAAAATTGGCTTAGTTTTCAGGAAAGTGTTTTCCTTTTTAGCTTTGTTTGTTTTTCAGAAAGTGGTTTCCGGGGAAACACTTTCCAAACTTTATTGTGTTTGTTTTCCAGAATGTTTCTGGAAGATCACTTTCCAAACTTTCTTGTGTTTGTTTGCTGTTAGGAAAGTTGGTAAACAGAAAACACTTTCTAGTCAAAAGAAAATTTGGCTTGATTTTCAGGAAAGTGTTTTCCTGAAAAATGTGGGAGGAAACACTTTCCGGAAGTTATGAAAAGTTTAGAAATGTCATTATTTGCTGATTATATCAAATTTGATCCTCAAACTTTTGATTGCTATATATATTTTGTTTTGAATATTTATTTTTTAATTACATTTCTTAAAATTTAATTTTTATATTTACTTTGGTCCTCATTTTTATAATTGTTATTTGTTTTTCTCCTATTATTTTTTTATTGAAATTTTTTTCTATCAAATTTGATCCTCATTCTTTTGATTGTTATTTATTTTATTTGAAATACTTTATGAAATGTTAATTATTATTATTTTAATTTCTTCATCTTTTTTTTTAGATTTGATCTTTATTATTTTGATTATTATTTATTTTATTTGAGATAATTTATGAATTTTTTTTTCAATTTTATTATTATTCAACTTTTTAATTTGTAAGATTTATTCCTTATTATTTTAATAAACTTGAGAAAAATAAAATATTAATAAATTATTTTTCAGTTCATTTTCCATAACATAACAAAATACTAGAAAGTGTTTTCTAGTTCATTTTCCATAACACTGCCAAATATTGAAAAATATTTTATTTTTAAGGAATTTATTATTTTTAGAATTTATTTTTTTTGAAATTCACTTAAAAAAAAAAAACTTTACTCAAACAAGCATAGTCTTATGGGTTATGCAGTAATAATGATGAAATAAATGCTTTTTAGCATTTTAGATGCACGGATACAAAGTTAGTTTTAAATGTTTCTCAGCAGTACCATAAATTTGAAATTTTATAAATTTATTTTAAAAGCATATTTATTTTATTTTTTTATTACTCTGATTATCTATATATTATTTTTTTAAAATCGAGATGCAAACTCATCTTTAGATGTTTTCCAAACTCGTAACCAAACATGTTTATATAAATTGTGTTTAGACAAAGCATGGTTGTCACTTTTGACAGTGTTTGGTAATTAAAAAAATTAATTTTTTTATTTTAAATTAATATATATTTTTTATTTTAATATTTTAATATCAAAATTAATTTTTTAAAAATAAAAATTATTATTTTAATATATTTTAAAATAAAAATTACTTTAAAAGCACAACCCTACCATTCATCGCTTTTTCAATGGGAGGACAATTATCATAACAGTAGTTAGTGATCTGGAACAAATAAAAAAGCTCAGCTTGATTAAGAAATAATTTAATGCTCGGAAGTCCAAGACGATGAAATGACTTTGGTAGGTTTTCCGACACAACAGGCTGTAATTGATCTGGCTCCTAAGTTGACTAAAATCGGTTTCTGTACTTGATTAAATTAAAAGCATAATTAAAAAAAGACTTGACTTCTGGTTTTTTCGGTGATTAAGTTGTTTATGTAAGTTTTTCTTTCATGTAAATATTATAAAATAGTATTTAAAAAAAATATTTTTTTTAATATTAATATAATTAAAAAATAAAAAATAATTTAAAACAAAATAATAAATTTAAAACGTGCAACCACAACCTTGATGAAGATAACGACCCTAAACAAATTAAATTTTTTTTTTATAAACTCAACTAGGATCCTATAAAAGAATTAACTTAAATTAACGTAAATTTTTTTAAATAATTATAAAAAATTATGTTAAAATTGCATTTCAGCACTTGGACTAGCAATTGAAGAAGCTTATCTCTTTTCCCTATCATGGATTCGAATCCTATCATGAACGTCTGTCATCCTCGTAATAATTACATGTCTACTGGATTTGTAGAGTTTTTAATGGGCCATGAGAATTAATCGTAGTATGTGCAAACTGTCCCGGACACCCACATAAAAAATAAAAAAATAAAAAAAATTGCAGTCTACGATATATTATTTTTTTCGAATGCACATGGACGTTCACACTCTTCCATAATCATATAATATTAACCTGGAGCCTAATCCATGGGAAGATGCGCGTCTTTGAATGGGAGAAAACATATCATAGTATTAGCTAGTGATCTGGCACAAATAAAAAAGCTCAACTTGATTAAAAAATAATTAAATGCTCGAAATCTAAGACTTTACTAGCTTTGCTGACAAGACAGGCTGTAATTAGGTCTGGCTCCATGCTGACTAAAATCGGTTTCTGTAATTGATTAAATAAAAGTAAGTACTCTGCTATTTTAATTAAAAAAAAAGACCTTGACCACGGGCTTTGTGCTGGTCAGTCAAGGTTTAAATTATTTTTCAAGAGTGTTTTTTTATATAAATATATTAAAATAATATTTTTATTTTTTAAAATTTATTTTTAATATAACAATACACAAACACATAAAACATTAATTTAAAAAAATAATAAATTAAACAAGCACGGCACTAAACACGGTCAACAAAGAAGGGATCCAAAATGATATCAATAAAGATCATGACCTTAAGCTAATTTAATTACAATGATTTTTTAATCTCCCTAATATTTATGATGGGTTGTTTGCTACTAGTTTAGTGTTTGGTTTAGAAATTGGCATGGCTACTTTTCAATGACTTGTCCCCGCTTTTGCTCTTCCCTTTTAAACTTGCTGATAATCTTATTTTTTTATTTTATTGTCTTTTTAATATAACAATAAATAAATACATAAAAAATTATTAAGCTAATTTAACGACAATGATTTCTTAATCTCCCTAATATTTTTAAAGAGCTAATGGTCTATACATAAAACAATTAATGGTCTAGAACAATTAAAAATACGAAGGTCATTTTGAAAGAGCTAATGGTCTACACATAGAACAATTAAAAATACGAAGGTCTCAGGTTCGAGTACTTGATTGTTAATATGATGGTCATTGAAGTCTTACATGGTTGTTAATTTTAGAGCATGTAAGATTAGTCGTGATGCACACAAGCTAACTCGAACATTCACATTAATAATAAAAAAAATACGAATGTATAAGAATATCAAAACTCGAAGCTAAATAAAACATATTGCCGAAAGTGCCTTGTAATTAAGAAGGCTGCCGATTGTTTGTTCGCTTTTTTGTCTCGTATGAATGAGGAAGATAACAAAACTTATTTGAGAGCTACCGACATATATCTTTGATTTATTTAAAATTTTAATCTCATATGAAATAATAGATTATAAAATTCTTGGTAAATTTTAAATTCAATTCAATAGTTTATTTAAAAGTGATAATTATTTTCATAAAATTAAATAGTTATAAATATTAAGATATAATCCAAATCTAATCTTTTTTTCTAGTGTTTGGACCATATTAATTTTTCTTGTTTCCTTTTCAATGTTACTTTTTTTTTGTTTACCAAAATGTTTAAATCTTTCACTTACCTTTCCACTCTTAGATCCATTGATTTTCCTCTTTTTTTATTTGATGTTGTGTTCTTCTCTTCTCCATCATTGATTCCTCTCCAAACGAGCTGGAACATCATTGAATCAGTATCTGGTTTGGGCAATTTAAAAACAAGCTTCCACTTCCACTTGTAGAGGCTTATTTCGTTTAATTCATTTATTTTCTTATCACCCGAGGAGTTATGGTAGTTGTCGTCATTGGTAAGGTTATGTCTAGCAGATCAACTGAGGAGAAAGGAGGG